AACAATAACAAAAATGCAAAATAAATAACCAGACTACGTTCTCAATTTATTTTTTGGTATCAAGACAAAGGCAAATTGAAAAGGGAACCCCTCAACACTCAATTGTTCCAACGATTTATTTAATTGTTAATATAAATACTTTGTGCAATATAGTTAAAAATTTCTTCGAACTATATTTTGCCTAGGCTCATAAAATTTTCTAGATCCGCCGCTGCTCCCCTCTGCCCACGAGAAGCAGCAACCTCTATTTCCCGACGTGAAATAGCAGCTGTCAATCACCACCATCGGCCTTGTACAGGTCGATCATCATCCCCTCTGTCCGTCGCGAGATTGGTCCCACACGCAGGTCCCGAAGAGTCCCACTGTTAGAACGTTGCTGTCCCGAGCCCCGCTGTTCGTGCGTTTTCCTTGTTGTGCGTTGCCGTCGGGACCCGTTCATTGTTGTCCGGCCTCCGCTGATCACCCGCGCAACTCTAGAGCGAGCCTAGGCTTAGCCGTCGAGCCCTGTCGGTGTATTCGTGAAGCCGTTTCGGCCTCGTTTGATTCTTTCGTTCGAACAATTCCCGAGAATGGTACAAGAGGCTCAAAACCTTTAATTATTTGCGTTGAGAGTATATTTTATGTCGATTCCTTGAGGAGTATACATGCTAAGGGTGTTATTTCATGAGTTCGGTTGCATTGTGCTCGTTATTTTATGTGAATATGTATATTGTTTGAGTTCTTGTGATGAGATATTGAATTGGAGAATCGAGCATGTTGAGTACGGTTATTTTTATTTAATTAAGGTGATAAATGGTGTTGTTGAGGTCTAATGGTGATGCATAAGGTGTTGGGACTTAAATGTTGAAGTTTCTTGTCAAAATCCATGATTTTTCGTGTATTTGCTGGTTCTGTTGTAATGCTTTAATGACCCTATGAAACTGGTTATCCAATGTCGGGTTCTTCATATGAAATGAAGTTCGTTTTGTTGGTTTTCTCGCTACTTTAGAATCGAGTGATTTCGATTTGAAACGAATAAGTTATGATTTTTATAAAATTATCGCAAGCAGTTTTTTTTAGAAAACCCGGCAGCATATTATGTTAGATGTTTACTGTGTATTAACGTACTCAAATTGAAAAGTTTTCTTCATGAATTTTGTGGTGCTTTGAG